GCAGCTCACTTACACCCGCAAGAATCGTGTGGATACGACAAATCACACCACTATAATTGATATTTTCCGGGATGTGATATTGGAATTACTTGCTGGTAGAAGATGAGCGGCTATATTTGGTGCAGTGCGTTGACTCGACCTAACAACAGCTGTGGCGAGCAAACGATTGCTGTGTCTTTTGACGACTTGGCTCTCGCGAGCCAGATTTTGTAACAAAAAAACTTTCTCATCCGCGGTATCGAAAATACGTATCCGGAGAGCGCTCTGTGTGACCATCAGGGTTGTGCTCCTAGGCAAGACTTGAAAGTCAGTGGAGATGATGAATGGGAATTTACTCGGACCAAACTGTCCGATGACCACTTCCAGAATAACCCAATAGACATGTCATATTGACAAAGTCAACTCATTTATTTGCATTCCTCTACACTCTCCAGCTGTCCGCAATTACGCTCCTACAGGGAAGCAAGAGGCTCCCAAGTCAATGTAAGAAGGGCTCTGTGGTTCTCATGCGAGGCCGCACAGGAATCTTTTAAAGGATCGTATTGCCCCCATGGTAATCCTCCCTGCCAAGGAGAATAGTGAGGCACGAGCAAGCGGAATGGTGCCGTCGCGTCAACCATCCCTGTCCACTCGGTCATAAACCGGGCCTGCTCTGCGGGTAGATGGGATCATGGCTCGCATCCGGCGCACCAAGGTGAGTCTTGGCTTAATGCAAAGAATGGAGACAATGCCGAAAGGACCCTCTGGCAACGGATTTAGCCACAGCAAAAAGAACGCACCCTTCCAAAAATGAACACGAAGAGCGGGTTAACTAGTGGCTCAACTCCCGAAATAGGAACTACCTAGGTAGGCTGTCCCGGGGTAAAGAAATGCTTCAATATAAGCCAAGATTAAGCAGAGACAAATAGGGACATGTAGACTGGTTTATTTAATAGAAGGAAAAAAGAAGAGGTGTCAAGAGAAAAGACCAACTCGAAAGTCATGGCTGACGAGCCCAACGTCATCAACCGCCATGGGGATCTCAGACTCAAAGTCGGTAGTCCGCAGCAGGCGGGAGATACCATCTGCCAGAGTGTCGAGTTCCTCGTCTGCTCCCGCGCGTTGGCCCGAGCATCCCCGGTTTTCGATCGTATGCTATACGGGGCTTTCGCCGAGGCCAGTCACAATCACGCGGGTAGCGCGGGCTAGACGATTGAACTGAAGGAGGACAGGCCTGTTGCCATGGAAGTGTCCCTGGACATTGCCCATGCCAACATTGCCCGCGTCCCGCACGTCCTCTCCGTCAACGGCCTGTACAACGTGGCCATACTAACGCATTATTACGACGCAACGCGGCTGTTGGCGCCCTGGGTGGGAAGCTAGATGCCGTCCATTATCGAGATGACGAGAGATGCAAACGTTATCATGCCAAAGATGCTGTGGATATCGTGGGAGTTTGGACGCAAGGAGGACTTCATCACAGTGTCGCGCCGGATTCGGGGGATGATGCCGTGCAGACTCCTCCGCACAAAATTGCTAAGAAGAACCCCCCCCTTGGACATTAACACATTGCCCAAAGCAAAAGGGAGGTGACATCAAGTCCGGAGGGCTAACATGCCAACGGTCACCACACAGAGCGCATAAACACTCTCCGAGTCCAAACTATTCAGGAGCTGCTGAATATAGCCAGGGACCTTGTTGCGAAGTTCATGGTGGTGGACGAAGAGCCAAGGTGGTGCCTCCACGCGACATATCTAGGACACCACCGATGCGAGTCGATGCTGCTCGGTTCCACCACGTTTTGTCTGGCAAGGGCGGGACTTTGGCCGCTGCCCGAGGCTGTTGACGTCGAGCTCAGCCTGTTGGATCTGTACCGAGTACTGGGCACTCTGGTAATTCACGACATCGGAGAGACAAACCAAGACCCGGCGGTGAATCACCAGGACTGCAACCCCGCTCCCGCTGTTGAACCAGGTTCAGATGGTCATGGGGCAGATACCCAGTCCGTTAACGGATTTCCATGTCAATCATCTGGAGGAGCAGGCCCAGAGGTTAAAACACGGGGCTCCAACGTAAAGCAGCTAGGATGTTTACTGAATGGTACTGAAGTTTTTGGTATGATGGCTTTTTCTTGTCCTCGGCGTCCTACATTGAAGTTTACAAGAGGCGATGACAGCTTTCCAGATGCATGTGCTTCTCCTTCATGTTGCCCATAAACCCTCTTCAAGTTTCGCAAAAGACTCGGCTACAAAATGAACTGTGATTGTGTCGGAACCTGGAAATGTGTCGTGAAGCCCGGGGTTCCTCAGCACCATGGGGGAAATTTACTATCCGTCTCGCCAACCATCATGGAGGTGATGAGGTCAAATTACAGCTACCAGCAGATATGGCTACAGCTATTACCAGGGCTGGCAAGGAGCTGTAGCATAGCAGCACTATCATTTATATGTAATCAATTGATATCATATATAATCTAGTAACGCGTATTTATCAATAACAAAACATATGAAACTACCTAGGTATAAATTATATAATAGGGAGAATACAGCTCATGACTCAATACATAGCACTTATTGCTGCTGCTCTCGCAGCCGACACAGCATTATGCTCTGGGGAATTTATTTAGTTCAATATTCTCCAAATCAGACACGTTGTTGCTTCCAACCAGCGGCGGCTTTATTGGTTTAAAATGTGCCGGGTGGCATTCCCAACATTTAAGTCTAAATCAGCTTAGCTTGCGCCTCTCGCCGCCTTGACCTACCCAAAATGGCAATAGAGTTGCAGTGCATCGAGCGTCTCCCCTCCCCTCCAGCTCCTCTCCCCTCCTCTCTCGTCTACATAACCAAGCAGCAGACAGTCAACTCCAACGCACACAACGCGGAGCAGCGAAGCAGGGCCATGATTGCGACGTTGCACCGTCTCCGCCACATAGACATGCCCGGTGCTCCAATGAGCAATATAAACAGACGCGGCCCCATGAGCCGATCGAATGCTGGATTGCAGTGTCACCCTTCCTCGACGAACCCGGCGCATCGCGCAACTTCGTCATGAGAGCGTTTACCGTCTTTGGAGTGCTGATTGGCTTTGTGGTCGCCCAAAAAACGGGCAACCACCCAGAATGGCAGCGATGGTGTGGCAAGGCCTATCAACCGCAGTAAGTGGGTGGTGTCATTTCATCATTTCACCGTCTCGTCAATGGGCACTAAATTTTGCACTCGAAGGCATCCTAGCTTTGAGCCTGGAGGCCAGACCGTCGAGCCGGATACGCTCCCCGGCGGCCCAGCTCTCGAAATCCAGTTCAAGCCTCGGTACAGCATCTATCTGGAGAGCGAGAGGCAGGCTGAATTCGTTGTCAACGCCGGCATTTCCAAGTGGCACGGCCAGCCGTGGCCCAGCCTGAGCACTCCCGATGCGGCCCCCCAGGTCGTCTTCACAGTTAACCTCGTGTCCAACAACGACCTTCTTGTGTCGGACCGTGTCAATGTCAGCACCACCGGCAACGTCTTTGCTTTCGATCTGACCAATCTCAAACCCAGCCTTGATCCGTACGAGGTGGTCCTCTTTGGGGCAACGGAAGACGGCGCCTCCAGCGTCACTGCCACAAGTGAACTCATGTTTCTTCCGGAGAAGACCAAAGGCAGCGTAGCAAAGTTGGACAACCTGAATGGCGGCTTTTTGTTCCGCAGCCCGGCCACCAAGAACAACTTTGAGCCATTTCTCCCCTATGGGTACTATGCCTCTTGCGACAAATTCCTCTGCGACAAGGACTACATCCAAAAGGTCAAGGCGTACAAAGACCTGGGGTTGAACAGCATGGTGTCGTTGACGACGGTGCAAAACTCGCGCGCGACGTACGAATACATGGATACCTTGGACCTGCGGTACATGTATGACTTGAGAGGCTCGTATAAGAACTTGACGGCGGTTGAGGAGCATGTTTCTGTGATTCGGGATTTTGAGGGCCTCTATTCATACTGGGGCGCGGATGAGTATGTCAAAGGTGTCGCAATCGCAAGGTTGCGCAGCGAGGAGTCATGACGATGGGCTAACAGTGTCTCCAGGCCCGACGGCCACCAAGATCCCTTTGATCTCCTCCCCAAGGCGCGTCATCTCATCCGCCAGCTTGACCCCTACCACCCCGTCTCCGTCACTCTCAACTGCCAAAACTTCTACTACAAGGAGTATACGGCGGGCGCCGACTTTGTCATGGAGGACGCGTATCCCATCGCCATCAACAGCACCTTCAGCAAATGGGGCACGCCTTGCAACACAACCTACGGCGACTGCGGATGCGACAACTGCCAGGGCAACGTGCAGGATGTGCCGAACCGTCTGGATGACCTGCTTCAGTACGAGCGCTGGCTGGGACTCTGGCCAAAGACGAAAGCGCACAACCCGCAGGCTTTCCACGGCGAGGACTACTGGTTTAGAGACCCCACGAATGAGGAGGAAGTCGCCATGAACGCGTTGGGGTTCAACCACGATGCCAAAGTGATTGCCTCTTGGGTGTGGCCCTTTAGCGATTCTCTCGGCCGGATCATGGGCAAGTTTGGATCGGCAGTCGCGAACCAACCCGTGAGGGACTTGATCGTGACGGGGAAAGCGCATCGCGTGCATATCGAGGGCCACCAGGTTGTCGACGCAGCGTACTGGGCTGGCGAGAAGCAGGTGCTGGTATCAGTTGTGAACGGGGGTTATGAAGCCATCGACGGCGAGGTTTCGATTCCCCTGCCCAAGTCTCTTGCGCTTCAGACCAAGGATGCTATTGTCTGGGGCAACGGGACGTGGACACTGGGCGATGGAGAGGTCCGTTTATCCCAGCAGAGCGCCATGGCGACGAATATGGTCATCCTGGGTGTGGGCAAGGGCAGGAGCAAAAAGTAGACGCCTCATGTTGTGGAGTGATTCTGTCGCTAATATAATTGATAGATATTAGATTCCATCAAGTAGCTTGAACCAAAAATTTCAAATGGCCACAAAAAAACACCGCTACCTTCCTCGCACAACCCACCCCATCGAGTTCATTGTTTCGGGATGCCGCTCCCATCCCTGTTCATCCTCTGCCACTGGCTCTTCAGCTCGACGCTATCCGCGCTCACCAGTGTATTCCTCCAGTTCCTCTCGCCCTGCATCTCGTCGCACCTGACGACGCCGGCGCCCAGCATGACGGGCGTACAGTTGGCATAGATGGTCTCGTACGAATGCGCCGGCACGACAAACGTCTCGTGGAAAATGCCAATGTGGTCCGGCCAGACGTTGTTGTACCAGTCCCACGCGCGGCGGTGCATCTCCTCGTGCGCAAACCTGTGGACGCTCTCGACGTCGCGGAAGAAGTAGCTGACCATGAGGGTGTCGGCGGCGCCGGGCCGCGACCCAACCCAGTCGGTGATGCTGACGAGCCCCAGCTCGTCGCGGCGCTCCAGCAGGCTGTAGTTCATCTCGGCGAACTTGTCGGCGATTTCCTTACCGTAGGGACACAGCCGGCCCCGGGGGTGGTTGAACTGCGCGCCGAGGTTGAAGACGACGAGCGGCCGGGACGACGGCGACGAGCCGAACGTGCCGTCGGCCCTGGGGAGGAGTGAGGTGGTCCGGCCCGGGACGACGGCGGTCATGTACCCCGGGGGCTTGGCGGGGCGCGGGAGGAAGAAGTCGATGACCTGGGTGGTGACGATGGCCAGGGCGAGCGTGGCGATGGGCACCACGGCGTAGCGGCCGGGGAAGACGGTGCATATGACGAGCTGGACGGCGGCTGTGAGGAAGATTCTCTGGCGCTGCGCAAGGAGCGACCTGAAGAAGAGCTATGGGAGTTTCGGGGTGTTAGTAGTGGTGATGGTCGTGGTGACGGTGGTGAGACTTACAATGGCGAGGGGGATTGGTTTCTCGACCGGCGGAGGGCCGACGGGCGCCAGCTTGGGCTTGAACTCGCCCATTGCGAGGACGTTGACGACGCGTGTAAAGCCGTCTGGGTCTGACGGACTTGGATGGGAAGATGGAAAGCGGTCGGGCGTGAAAACTGTCACACAATCTTCAGTGGTGGTGTTGGTCCGTGAAACTAGAAAAGGACAAGCGAGGCCGACGCCTTAAGTATCCGAAGTCGATGGCCGCCTCGGAGACATGGCGTGGCACTGCGTCGAGAAAAGAGAAACCAAGCAGGGGAATGGGCAGGAAGCCTCGGTATTCTATTTGGTCCGGGGGAGGCGGCCATCTGCAGATGGGCATGACATGTTGTCGGGCTGGGGGCGCCTCGCATTCGCTTTTTCGGCCCCGCGATGCTGGATGGACATGGGGCGGCTGCAAACGAGAGCGAGGGATGCCCACCCGGGCGAGCGATCCGATTGCGAGGGCTGCTGATCTGACGGGTCCCCGGTCCTCACCCATGCCGACGACGTATGCACTCTGTGCTTCATTGGCGGGCACAGGTGATATATATAATATTTTGCCCATCAGAGGTATATACTCATATGCCACGGTATGCTACAGTACAAACATGCGAGGTCAAATGCTCTCTGCCTCCCACTGTAATCGACGGCGGTAACACTTGGTACCCCCGCCCACGGGTTTTCAAGTGCATGCCAACACTCTTCACCATCCCTCGTCATCCCCTCACGCTTATGCCCTCGGCTGACTTCGTCATGGACATTTTGGGAGAATCCGGCGCAGTCTCGACGCCAGACACGGACCGGAACGACACGCTCCTGTGGTTGGTAATCCGGGCATCAGCTTCACGGCACTGCAACCCGAAAGGGACCTCATTACGCGGCGCATTGCATGGAACAACGCGGCAAGGCGATTGATTCCGCGTCATGGGCGTTGCAATTTCACCTGCACCACCTGCCTCGCATTTCAAAGCAAAAAGGTCATTTGTCATTATCATCACATCATATCGAATCTAGCACAACACCCGCCCCAAATCCCCTAGACCTTGTACGGATCCTCAACATCTTGCCGCCTCCTCCTCCGCCAACCGCCTCGCGCCCCAACGTAGATGAGCCAAATATACACCCCCATCCTAGATGCAGCTTACACAAGACCTTCCAAATCTGCCTCACGGCGAACACGCACTTCACCCACGCTATCCAATGCCTCCACCCGCCCGCCACTGCCGCCCTCTGCCTCACCGCGCCACAGACAGAATCCATGCCCTGCACCCACGATTCCGCAGAGCTGCTGCTCTCCCGCTGGTGCCACCTCAGACGCTGTATTAGAATACCAATGTTAATCAGGTCCCGGATGATTTGCTCCCTTTTGCTAGTCATCTTGTCTCCGTCGCCGTCGTGTTTTCCTTGTTCGCCTGCTGCTCGTCCGGCGACGTAGCGGGTGCCATTAGGGACTTTTCCCACTCGTCGAGGAGGTTGTTGGCCGTGCGTTTGATGTTGCTGGGCGAGAGCCGGTTGACCATGTTGGGGAGCATCTCCTCGAGTTTGTTCGGGGATAGGATGGGGGTTTGCAAGTTTTTTGGTTTCCTACGTCTTGGTCAGCCACCTTTTGTTCTGTATAGGTTAAACTTTTGCTTCCTGCCTCTCTTTCTTCTATGCCAAAAAAAAAGAGAGAAAAAAACGACAAAAAGTTAACAAAGTAAGAAAAAAATCCTTACACTGGTGTTGTGTGCTCTTCATACTCGGGAATACTCTGAATGTCGTCCATCGCTCCGCCATGTGCAGTAGAGCCGCTCCAGCGCGTACTCTTGGCAGCCACAGGAGACTCCCAATTCGCCCAGTCCGTGTCGTCCATGGAGTCAAAGCCCAGAGGCGTCCAGGAAAAATGCTTGCTCTTTGCGGGTCGCGACTTTTCCGGTGACACGTCCTTGCGAGTGCTAGTAGGCGCTGGGGAAGCCGTCACGAGCGATGACGCTTCTAAACGGCTCGCTATTCTCTGGCTTGTCTGGCCGTTTTTGGACCGAGCCTGATCTGAGGGCCCTGAATGGTTCATCGACCCAGCATGGTGTTGCCCAGGACTCTGACCTTGCCCATTGATAGGCTCATCACCAATTGTAATCTGTCGAATGTCCTCCACAAACGCCTTGAAACCGAGCCTGACATCTTGCATGAACTGCGAGCCAGCGGGTGGACTCTGCTGTGTTCGGGGCTGCCACGAGGCTCTCTTTGCTAGCATCGGGTTCGCGGCCCGAGTTGGCCTCTGGTCGACTGGGGAAGGCCGGACATCTGCCCCAATCTTGTCCTCCAAGACTGAAAATTCGGAATTGGTTCTTGCTGGCGAGAGAAGTGACAATGTACGGGTATGACGTCCCCTAAAGGCCGTCCTTCGGCTCTGCGTAGGTGTACCCTGGTTTTGAAGCAGGAGGTTCCTGCGGTCCATGTCGACACTGCATCTGGGCGACTGCATGCCTCTGTCTGCGGTTGGGGTAAAGGCTCTGCTAGTGGAATCATGGAGGCCAGTGTCTAGTTTGTGAAGAGTGTCCATCAAGGAGAACTGCCTCTTGAGCGCTATGAGTTCAGATTCTTCACGGGCCAACGCTTCTCTCAGCTCAAGCACCCTGCGCTCCTTTGCGGCTATTACTGTTATGAATTCATTCACATTGGAAGGCGATGGCAGAGCTGAGTGATCCTGTGGCATCGGGGGTACCGAGGACGGTGTAGATGCTGTTGCTGCGGGCGTAGGTCTCGAAGGATCGCTTGTTGGCAGAGCAATTGGTAAAGTGAGTGACAGTCTGTTTGGGATGCGACAAGCAGACTCGGTGCGTGAATGCCGCTTGGGTGAAGGCGGCGCTGCCATGTTGCCCACGGGTAATGGCGGCGGGGGCATGATGCTGCTGTCTAGACTTCGATGCTTGTTGGGCTTGCTCGTGCGAGGTGGACCCGGTGTTGTTGAGGTGAGGGCGTTTGCGGCGGTCAGGGGTGATGATGATGATGATGATGCGGGCTCAGGGGCAGAAGCAAAGGTCGAAGTCGCGGTCGCGCAGATGCTGCTCAGGACCGAGGTCTCAATTGACGTACGGTCCGCCGCAGACGAGCGACGGCGAATTTCTGAATGCGAGGCCATAACCAGACGCCTCTTGGAAATCTTGTAAACGCTATGTAACGAGTGACGTGCGTGAGGCCGGCGACGCTGGGTCAAAATCTGGATGGAGAAAGGAGTGGATGCGGCGCAGTGATGGCCAGCAACTGATCTGCGGCGCCGCACAGAACCAGCTCTTGGGGCGAGCGCGAGGACAAGTTGACGCTGGCTTAGACGGTGATGATATTCATCGAAAAGAGCGAGGCAGCGGTCGAGAGCGCAAATCGAAAGAAGAAATCCAGTCATGAGTGAGGGTGTGAAGCGAAGCAAGTCCAGACGAGCCAGAGACAGGCCTGGTTGCTCATTCTGGCCCGGCCACTCAAAACCTGCACCAGGACCAATTGGCCAATTGACCACTCGAAACCGTCGACTACTTTTTTTTATTAGCAGTGGGATTCGAGATGGGCGAAGACGGAGGGCGCAGTCTCAATTGACCAGCATCATTGGGCCAATGGTCATCTGGGCGCCGAGGCAACCAGGGGTCACAACGTCACAAAGTGAGCAACACCCAAATTTGCGTGGAACCGGGTGCCGGGAGCGATGCTGCAAGCGAAAGAGGCTCCAGGTTGTCGGCCCAGGGTTTGTGTCAAAGTGCGCCAAAGTGTTGTGGGAGACGAGACGGTCAAGACCAGACAGATTGACAGACAATCAGACGAACGGCGAGCCGCAATTGTCATGTATGATTGAGGTTCCGGGTCGATCAAAATGAGAAGGACGAAAGGGCCTGTCCGTCAAACTTGTCCCCGCGCCCCGCGTGTTTCGTTTCCAAGAACAGTGACAGGTCTTGTGTTGATGCTTTGTTTGGAATAGACCAACGAGGCACAAGGGCTGATGTCTCGGAGGCAGACGAGCGCCTCTTGTTTATCCCTCAACCGTGGCCACATGTTCAGGCAACAACACGCCATAGCATGCATCATACCAAGGGCATGTTATTTATGGTTACGATTACTATTCCCTGCGGTGCTCAACGCAAAGGGTCGTCGCTTAATATCCACAACCATCTCCGTCTCGAATCGTCACGACGCTCCACGCGTCGTTGACCCCGACAACCAGCGGATCTGGGTGGATCGCTGCCCGTCTTCAGCACGCCTTTATTAATCGAATAAGGGCTCGTCAGTGGTTTATGGTCGCAGCCGCACCGCATCTTGTATTGCGCGTGGACCTCCGATGTTGGCTGCAGCCCTCTGCCGCGAGGCCAAGCCATCTTGACCTCTCCCTCTCTCTATGCCAGATCAGTCCAAGTGCTGACGATAGCGTCAGGTACAAGCTGGCCGTTGTGAGGCCCGCAGCTTTCTCTCCAACTCTCCACATGCATCGCTCCACATTGATCCTCATCCGAGGTCAACTGGGCCTTCTTTTTTTTGACTGACCCATTTGCCATTGAGCAGGGAGTCGCAGGAACCACAATTTCCTTCTGAAATTAGTAGCCAATCAAGTGTCTCGTCTGCAGTGCCTTAATGCAAGTGTACAGTGTACCAGGGTCCAACGTGGAGGGGCAGTTGATGGACTGGAATTAAGTGACCTCATCACGAGCCGGAATCTAGCTCGATTCTTAACAGTCAAATATATCAACGCCCTTGATGCTATCCGAAAAGGAGTCAGCAAACATGGCAATAATTGAGACTTGCGATAATATGAGATTGCTTACCCCAAGTCCTGCGGCCCGATCTTGTTTTGAGATGCATCGTCAGCCTCGCCTCGTATACAGGCAGTCGAGGCATGGGGGTGTCCGGCATGTTGGGCAGTTCAAGTCGCCCTCGACCGACCACCAACCCTCAGAACAGTTACACTATGTAAGGTTAGGACAACTTCGCCAGGACCGCAAGGGCCATTACGAACACATTGCCACCATCCTGCAAAACGCCTGACAGTGACGGATTGCATTACCCTTACTCGCTGAAACTGCCGGATTATTTCCTCTTGCATTCTCGCGGTCGGGCGGGTTCCAAGGATATCCGCAGCACCGTTTTGGGCGGCCAAGTTTGGTGCTGCTTGCTGAATGACTCGAAACCACATTCCGCATTCTTTGTTTGCACTGCAATACATCGCATCAATATCCTAGGCCGGTTCATCAACCGTTAAATGAGATGAAAGCGCCCTACTCACCAACAGATACTGGCATTATTTCCCACGTCCGCCTCTGTGAGACATCTTGGGCATGCAGGGTTCGTCGGTGACGGGGCAGACCGGAACACCGTAGTACTTATGATCATGCTCATGTTTACTTTCATCCCTCTGCGAAAGCTGCTAGACCACGGGGCATCAAAAGTGATATCCTTTCCGGTACAGCTGTCCTCCAAGGAGTACTTGCGTTCAACGACCAACTGATAGCCGTTCAATTTCTGGAAACGATGTTCGAGCAGTGCTTGAAACCCCTATTACTATCCGTGTCAGAACATGGGCATCCTCAAGATACTTTCGGTTCGGCATACGCTCCAGTCATGAATCCAGTCCATGGGAATCTCGACAATATGACCTAGCGGATCTTCCAACAGCACAGGCTTTTCCCGAGTCGGGTCAAGGGTTCGGAACAGCAGCGAGTCTGATGCCAGAGACTGCATACTGGCAACAAGCCTGGTCACGTTTCCCACCATTTCCTTGATCTCCCCGACAGTTTCGTACGTCATCTTCACCCATGGCAGTATGGTATGGCTATCTCTCTCCATCATGACCAATCGATTGCTAATGTCAAGGCACAGGCGGACCTGCTCTTCGTGCATATCGGTCAGCGTTTTTTCATGGTTCGCAAGAAGTTGGCTGACTTTTTCTATTCGCTCCAACACTGTTCTATTGTCGACTCGCGCGGATTGCCTGGTTTTAGACATCTAGTGTGAGCAGAGGCAGCCGGAGTCAGGGTGGTGTCACCATACCGACCGGCAATCGCAACCAGAAGTGCTATGCGATCTGAATAGGTTCTGAGCTTGTTATGTAGCTTATCCAGATTTTTCTTTTCCGCAAAAACCCACTCAACCTTCTTAAACACATCTCTAAGCATCCTCCCCGAGCCACCGGGCTGTAAGCTTTGATTGTATTTGGGCACAAAGCGTTCGAGAGCACCTCGCACGACACCGGCGCAGTCGTGAATGGCAAGTTTAATTTCCTTCTCGACGGAGTCCAACCACGGACTCGGTTCGTATTGCTCGTAAGTGGCGATGACCTGAAAACGTCGGTAAATAGTTAGAAGAAAAGTTGGAAGGTGCTTGGTGCTGAATCGCCACAGTTCTTGCACAGGCACGGGAACATACCTGCATCAAAATTCGAACGAAGCTATCCAGCTCATCGCGTAACTCTTTATACTGCCTCGCAGACTCAGCCGAGGTGCCAAGGCTGTGCCTAAGCTCAAGTATAATCTGAGAGACGGCGATGATTTCCCCCACGCTGCCGAGAGTCAGGCTGAATTCCATGACTGTAACCGGCAGCAGAAGTCAGGCTAAATATGAGGGTTGTTGGCAAGTGGCCGATGGCCTAGGTTTCGTGCTTACGAACATCTACGAGACGTGAGGCTAATATTTATTCAGTTCCCGCCTCAGCCTCAAATTGGGCTTATTCAACCCAACTTAGGTGTGTAGTGTGCAGCATACGAGGATGCTGCCTGATCAGTTGTGCGACATGAGATTTTATGTGTCAAGCGCCGACACTAGTGAGTACGGAGTATCTAACTACTACCTAGGTAGGTACTAGGTGGATGTGCGAGAACTCGGAAGAACTTTTGAACTGACTTCCGGCGTCTTAGAATAGTCTAGAGTTTGTTTACAGCCAAGTGAACAAGTCGTGACTGTTGCAGAGAGCATACTTTCGGCGTTACAGTCGCATCTGCTGATTTATGGAGGTCGAGTCCTGCCTTAGTTTAAGCTACGTGCTTTCAACCAGCATGAATAGCTTCAATAGACAATACCATGGATAGCGACATGTCCAGAAGCGAATCGACTGTTGGAATCGCATGGCTTTGCTGGCTAAGGGTGACATGAAGTGTGATCAAGAACCTGACTGAGCAATGATATTGTGCAGCCATTTAATTTTCCGACGCTCCCCTGCTTTGTCACTTGCCAACTGGGCGTCCGCTTCAGAACGCCCAACTAAAGTCTGGTACCATCTCATCATGTGACGTCGCGTGTCTGGTCTTGAGCCTAGCGACGCTCGGATCCGCTTCTTGATGGAGCCGAATCGCACAAACGCGTCTCAAGAACTTCTTGCTAGTACTGAGCTACACTTTGTCATCTCGCGACACCATGATTCTCAGGCAAACCTGCTTGCTCAGCTGAGAGAATGGATGCATGAACCGCAAATCACCCTGCGCTAACCCAAGGGCCTTGGGCTCGACCTTTGTTGCCTACCTAGGTGCCATTCGTTTTGACAGTGATCCACGCGCCATGGCCGACAGCGGTCATCATCTCTAATAATAAATAGGGCCTCTGTTCCGCCACCATTCGCTAATATTTCTATTTCTTGGATACTATTTTTCTTTCCTTCTATTTTTGAACTTCCTTAATTGACCCTTTCGAAATACTCAGTGCAGAGGCTTCAAATCACAATGCCGATTCCATTCGTTCTCGTGTGCGACTTGCTGGACGAGTGCCACCGGCTTTGCATCGCGAATAAACCCAATACACAGGCTGTTGTCGACTGGTTTGCACGCCATCGCGGCCGGATTAATGCACATGATACAGACCCGGCTGCCTTACTCTCTACTTTGCTACCGGAAAAACGGACAGACCGAGTTTACTGTATCAAAGCGCCAACTTTGGAGAAGATTATTGGGAGAGCTTTGATGCTTGGATCGTCCCGAATCGTCGAACTTGCCTTATACAAACAACCCGGACAGCGCACCGACCTTGCAGATTGTGCTGAACGCATTCTTAATACTACCGTAAATTCTAACTCTGATTTCCGTGCTTGGGACGCGTACTTATGTGACACAGCCAAACCCTACTTCCAATGAGAAACCGCGAATCAGCGTGGAAGAAATCGACGAGGCCTTGCACAGATTGGCGTCCAGGATCAAATGGAGCTCTCCATCTATTCGGAATTCCCAAGCCGCTCTGACCCCACGTGGTAGATGCGATCTGGAGGATTTTTATCGTCGTCTCACTCCGCGCGAGGCGAAGTGGTTTACAAGACTTGTCCTGAAGGACTACCAACCGCTTATTTTGGATTCTGAACTTGTGTACCGCTGCTGCGATTCAACCCTGCCCCTGATCCTCAAAGCGCAGGACGACTTTGCAACTGCTATCCAAACACTACAATCGGCCAAGGGCAACATGCTCCCCAATTCCACAAGGAGTACCTCACGGAGGGACCAGATTCTTGCGGCGGTTAAACCAAAATTGGGAGTGAAAGTGGGGAGACAAAACTGGTTCAAGGGCCGCAGTATCAAACATTGTCTAGATATGGGACATGGACGCATGAGCGTTGAGCAAAAAATTGACGGGGAGTATTGCCAAATACATGTTGACCTAACGAGTGGGAACTCCAGAGTTCAGATTTTCTCCAAGAGCGGCAAGGACAGCACTGAGGATAGACACAAACTACATGGGTGAGCAACGGAATAGTGTCTCGCTAGTACCGGCTAACTCGGGGCAGAGTGATTATTAAATCCCTTGGTCTTGGCACGTCGAACTGTCATGTGCGCAAAAACTGTATTCTCGAAGGGGAACTAGTTGTGCATAATGATGTTGTGAGTATGTCAGTCGGGTGAATCAACTTGTTCCCTAACCATTGCCAGGAAAATAAGATACTGCCGTTTCATAAAATCAGGAACCATGTGACACGACGAGGTCGGCTCATGGATGTGGACCTGGATTCACCGTGTGTTTGTTGCATCACATAATCATTGAATTGGACTAACTAAGCCAGGCCACGCTCGTATGAGAATTTGATGATTGTGTACTACGACATTCTCTTCCACGATGACCGATCGTTGCTAGGCGTCCGCCACTCGGAAAGATTCAAAATCCTACAAAAGACAATCAATTGTGAGGGAGGCCGAGCAGAATTGGTAAAGCGAACTCTTGTCGACTTTGACCGCCCAACTGCAGCATCAGAGCTGCGAAAGGCATTCGCTAGTGTCATCACTGACAAAGGGGAGGGTCTGGTACTCAAGCCAGATGACCCTTATTTTAACTTTCAAGCCAAAGATGGTCGGAGTTCGGGTCTATGCATCAAGCTCAAAAAAGAATACATTGGCAACTTCGGTGACGTGGGAGACTTCGCTGTTGTCGGCGCAGGCTTCAACCCTACAAAGGCATCATCTTACCGGATACCCAATCTTCAATGGACCATATTTTTTGTGGGCTGCTTGAACAACAAGGAAGAAGTCAAACGGTGGAATGCCAAGCCAGAGTTTACCGTCGTCAGTGCTGTGGAGATTACAGAACCGCTTCTCAGGAACTTCATATCTCATTGCAGCCCTGTATCGGTACCATTACGCAAGAACGATGCGACAAAGTTGCATATTCCAAAGGGCATCGAGGCTAACGCCTCTTTGACTGCAGCGTTCCAAAACCCTGCAGTTTTCGATTTGAGATGCTTCAGCTTTGACAAACCGGGGAATGTGGGCTTTTGGACGCTAAGATTCCCTGCCGTGTCCAAGATTCACTTTGACAGGGACTATTCGGACGCAGTCACATTTGATGAACTGCAACAGATGGCTCAAGTTGCAAGGGCAACACCAGACCTGGAAGATAGTCAAGAGAACCTTCACTGGATTGCGAAGTTGGAGGGGGCCGATCCTAGAGGGCGTGCGGTTGATGCTGTCAGTCAACTGACAGCCACAACAATGCCTACCCCTTCACCTTCCAGCTCTAGACCACCTTTGTCACCAATAATGCAGCGACCACAAAGCAGAAGTCCGGAAGTAGTGAGGGCCTATGGGATGAGTCAAAAATCAGCTGATATGTCAACTGCCTCGCTCACCACACCACCTACTTCTTCTCCGGTAGAAGAAGAGGCCCGAACACCAGGAAGGGGGAGCAAACGAAAGTGCCCTACATCGTTTTCACCTACCGCAGCGCTGACACTGCAAAGGCGTCTCTCAATGACGACCCATTCGTCACCAGTAGCGGCGACCAAGAAGTTGCGTAAACCTTTGGATGATGTTGATGCTAATGTCCTGCAGCAGTCTGCAACACCGAACTCGTCGTTTGAAGACGGTGGGATAGATCAATGCGTTGGATTAACCAAATCTCCACCATTTATACAAGAAACGCAAGAGAATGAAGCCCCTAGTACACCTGATGAAGGGATCAATCCTACAAAGGGCGATATCCGGTGTACGCCAATTACCATTTCTTCCGACGAAGCATCTCAGGCGACAGACATATCACCCCAAGTCAAAAATGGGTGCAAGTTTGCTGCAAAAGAGTGCCATTTATTCAAGCACACGATCCTGCTTGCTTCAAGGGCCCTTGGACCCTCATCGGAGCGGACAACTCTGTTAGGTGATCACGGTGCATCTGAGTTTGCGATATCATTAGACGACTGGTTGCAAGAAAATAACTATGGCGCTACGTTGGGGAAAAAGTCATCGCATATAATTATCCTGGTCGATACCGTGGACAAGGCCAGCGAAACCAAACTTGTGCTGGCTGAAGTGGAACGAGCCCGAAAGGAGCTACCCCCGAAAACGCGTGGTTGGATGGCTGTGTATGATTGGCGAATGTTGCAGCATCTCAAGATCATGGAAGATGAGGAAACGAAGAAAAAGTATTACGATGGGTTTCATGACCCGTGGCGGAGGTGGTACTGTGGAATCGTATAGGCCCTTGGAATGTGGTCTTGGACGCGCATTGAATACACTCGGCTAGATAGATGGGGGCAACCAGGATACCCAGAATTATACGTTGGAAACCATTACGCTACATGTGTCTGCATGTCAGTCCTTTTTGTCCTCATACAAGGTCCCGTAGGTCTCCCTCAACCTCATGAGCAAATGTTCCCCTGCCGTCAAAACCCTTCTCTCGGCATACGGATTCTTCACCACACCCTCCTCGACGAAGCCCCTGACGCGCTCACTCGGCACAGGCTCCAGCAAGGCATCGTCCATGGGATGACAAAAGAAGGCAATCGAGTATCGCGGGTCAGTACTGCTCTCTCCCTCCACCCCTTCTGCACCGTTCGTAGGAAACACCACTCTATGAACGGTACTTCTGAAGAGCCCGTTGGTCCAATACGACAGCAAGTCGCCAATGTTGATTAAGATAGGTGGGCTGGGATCATTTTCAGTACCCGGCGGTGAGACGGGGACAGGCGCCCACGTCCCGTCCTTTTTGAGGATTTCAAGACCAGCCTGGCCCCTGAGACGGAAGAGAAGCGTAATGGAACCGTAGTCGGAATGGGCACCTGCACGAACATCGTCGACGGTGTGGGACGTGCTCGACGGCGGCGGATAGCGCAGGAAGCGGAGTATGGTGCCGCTGCCAGAGGGGAATTTGAAGTGTGCCGAGGAGAAGAAGTCGCCCACCTATTCTGTCAGTTGGGTGCTTTATGAGGCAAGGGGGGGTAACAAAGAATGCGACGTACTTGGAGACCCTGGCCTAGGAGGGCGAGGATTTTAAAACACAGGGCGCGGCAGAGGTCGGCAAAGGCGGAGAAACGGGCCTCGTCGGCGGCAACGGTGGGCGGCAGAGGCTGCTGGGCTTTGTTGTTTATGAATTCGCCAAAGTTGAAGGCTCTGAGGTCCAGGTTAGGCCGGGATGGGCGACGGTCTAGGGGTTTGTGAATGCGCGGTTGCTCACTCTTTGAAATCTCCCACCTTGTGACTCTTAGCAGGCGCTCCGCGTATATTGCTACGTGGTGGAGGGGATTGATAGCGAGGGTGAGTACCTTTTGGTTCTGGGGGTCCAATGTCTCGGCATGCATGCTCGTCCATCCTCGATTGTTGGTTTGGATGGAGCACGCTTGCTTTTCGTCTAGCGGTGCGCTGAACAGCTTTTTGGACTTGATGGGTCGTTGTTAGCATCCACGAGCCTCCTAAAGAGAGTGGGATTTAGGGGGCCTCTGGGGGTGCCAGCGTGCAAGTACCAGGGCAAATGCGTCGTCGATGCTCGCTGCGGGTATGTCGTGGCCGAGGTTCTGGATGTAGATGAAGCCGTGGTCGGCTGCGGCGTCGACTAGTTGCTTTGCTACATCTTCTTGGGGACCGGAGAGGTCGATGATGGGTATGTCTGCGGATGCGGGGGACATTGCTGCGGATCTTGGCGTCTGGTATTTGCGTGGTTGTTGGTGGTGAGGATGGATCGGAATGTTGATGTGGAGGTGGGGGGTGACGTCGTGTAGGAGGAGTATTGGATGCGGACTGTGAATGAATTAATTGATGCTATGCGGAACCTCATGGGATGCGGTTGCACGTCATTTCATAGTCGAGATGGAGGTGGGTTTGGACAGGCCTGGATGAAGGTGTTCCTTGGAGGTGTGCGTTGACGCATGTGCCACAGGTGCAGATCGGATGCTATCCATTCAATGTTCTACAGCTGTCAGCCTTGGCTGCTGGAACGGGGTCATTGGGCTAGCATGTTGTAATATTGTGATGCCTATGTAGATATTTCTGAACGACGTATGATAGGGCAGGCACTACGGTCTGTGGCGAAATATACTACCATGACCTACCTAGTAGGCACTGTAGAGTTATTTGCTCACCAGGGAGTATATGCTAATATACTACCTAGGTAGTTACTGATAGTATGTGATAATATAGAGCGCGATAGCTAGGTATCTGATCCATGTCTGGTCAAATCAAATTGATACTTTTTGCCTCCCACCAGCTCTATGACTCCCCACTGTAGGAAGGTACTTGACCTCGAGTTCGCGCGGGAGACAAAAAAGTAAACCAGCCAGGCCTTTATTTAGAACCGGGTTTTTTTCTTTATGTTAGCGACGTGGTGTCTGAGCAGCGCCGCTTTGACGACGAGCAGCTCCATCCGTCGAACTCCAGCTTGAAGGCCAACTCGTCTGCAGCAAGAGCGGCAAGGGCACTAAGCCCAACACGTTGGACTGGTGTTCAGACAAAGGGCAGTTGCATGTCGTCTTGAAACCTGCACAGTCCTGCGCGGTCTGTGTTCAATGTTTGTTCAAATGCTTCATATTCCCACAACTTGGGCTTTGGCTGTTTCTTGGAATTATTCCTTGACCTTTTAAATACGTCAGCCCAGCTGCAATCAAGCATCAAGCATTGAGCACCAGCCACCATCAACCAACCATCAACCGACCAACCCCCGAGGCGGCGACTCAGACTCAGTCGGTCCCTCAAGTGCCACTCTTTTTTTGGCCGCCGAAGGAACAAGCGCCAAGCAGCGCAGCCCGCCTTTGCCTCTGGTCCAAGTCTCCTTCAGAAATCCACATCTCCCACCCAACTAACCCCTTCGACAACGACACCGGCGCAACCACCAACTCCATACCGCGAGATCCTATAGTCGACCAGCTAATTTCGTTTCCTTCGAATACGGGCGCTCTGGTCGCCGCCGGGTTCTTTCAGGATGCCACGTAAGTGATGCACGCTCCCCCATGTGCGAGTGCAGGCGTTTGGTTTGCTCTGGCCAGATCTGATGATGTGCCGTTGGGGCTGGGAGCTTGCAAAAGTCATTGTGGTGATGGCCTCATTGTGCTTCGCGCCGCGCCAATGAGAGCAACGGGGGTGTCAATATCGACCATGACAGCCTCTATGTTGTCCGTCTTCTCTAGCAGACTGCCTAGCAACATCGCCCGTCTTGCAATTGCACCTCTTCCTCGACCCTCTGGGCGCACACGTGCTTTCCTTGTATCGCGTGGCAAGCTCGTCGGTCGACCTGTCCATCAATGACACTCTCGACAACTCAACCTCGCACTTGCCCTTATTTTTGCTCTACCGAAAACATGGACTAACCGCCCCTTTTTTTTTCCAGTTCTCATTGAGGATACCTGGATCAACAACCAGGCATAGTACGTTCGCACTGCTTGTCCAATCTACCCCTCCGCCTCCGCCGTTTGCACACCGTTTGCAATAGCCACTCGCTGTTCGGAAAGTAAACGTAGTTGCTGACGATTTCTGACCAATTCAGCTCGGTCGACCTCTCTGAACTCGAAGACTGCTCCATCGCCGTCGATGCGACGTACTATCTGAGCCAGCTTCTCGACACTTCGCCGGCTCACGAACCTCTACTCTCGGCCCTCGGCGGTCTGACTGGCATCCAGACTCACATCAATGAGAACCTGGATCTTTGGAATAAGAATCGTATTGTTCCATTCTTCATCTTTGATGGACAGTCCATCCCCGGTCAAGACGAAGTCGGCCTTAAGCGCCGGCGGGCCGCGAACAAGAAGACCGACGAGGCATGGGATTTGTACTCGAGATCAGAAGCCGAGAAAGCCGTTTCGACTTTTGGGGCCAATGCAGGTATGCCGGTCCTAGTTACCTGTTGAAACTTGGAGAGAATTAACCGTGCCTGGCTACTCAGGTGCCTACATCATCCAGAACTTGTACCCGTTACTGCAGGGAATTCTGAAACAGCGAGGCCTTCATTTTCTCGTGCCTCCTTACAATGCATGCGCCCAAGTACGCTTTCTCACAAATAACATGATGCTGGGATGCCATGATTCAAAGAAACTGACAATGCCACAGCTAGCCTACTTTGAAATGATCGACTCTGAACAATGCGCCGGCGTCATGGGCCCTCAGGAACTGCTTCTCTACCCCATCAAGGATGTCATTATTCGCTCTCTTGATTTTGAAGCAAACAAGGTCACGGCCATTTCCAAGAAGAAGATAATGCGCATACTTAGTGTAACGGAGCCCATGTTCATTGACGCCTTGCTCATGACTGGAACCTCCTTTCTTCCCACGTTTCCCCCTTTGCTGGATACCTCGATGTACACCAATCAATTCACCATAATGGACGCCGTCAATATGCTGAGGACCTCTGACAAGGCTGTGGCCAGTGCCTGCGCTTCCTTCAACGACATTCTGCAAGCTCAAGATGCCAACTGGCTGGACAAGTACAGGAAGGCACGGCTGGCTGCTCATCACTTCATTTATATTGCCGAAAACGGTGAGGTGCTTGTCAACGATTTCGAGCGCCTCACCAAGGATAACCACGAATACCTCGGCCTCCAGCTGCCTGCGGAGCTCTTCCACTATCTCAACACGGGACTGATCGGCGCACGCAATCTGAACAGTATAACGCACGGTCAAATTGTAGTGCAGCCCACCTTGGACGGCGTTGTATCTGATGAGTACAAGAAACTCATCACCACGAAGCTGGTCCCAATTAAGGAACAGGCTCTTGGCCTAATCATCCCTCGCGTCCACCGAGGTATTGGACACAAAGACATCACTTTGCGTGTTTGGTTCGATCCAAAGTTCTCCCACACAATTAATCATCGTGCACAGCAGCCGCCTCCGTCGCAACGGGTTGGTACTTGGGATGTTAAGGAGAGCGACCTACGCAGTGTCTTTCCAGCCGGTTTTGCAGGCCCCATCTATCTGGAAGTCCTGGCCCTCGCTAACGCCGAGTTCGTGGCAAAGACAATTGCCAAGGAAAGTAAAATCAGAGGAATTGATAGCTTGGAAATGGTTACATCTGTTTCCATTTGGCGATTTCTTCACCTGAGGGGCTATGTCAGCGACTCCCATACGCTGACCAAATGGGGGAACGCATTGGCGACCACCTTATTGGCGCTCAAAGATGCAGCCGAGAATCGCCCCGAGGTCCCTGCACTTGATGAGGCGGCCCTGCTTGCCTTTGAGTTGGTTCGACATGGCATACTGGGAGCCAAGCATCAGGAAAACATTGCCGGCTTGCCTCGCAGGGGAACCGACGAAGACAAGACTAGCCTGGTGCTGATTAGCCAATGTGCAACACTGTTAAAGCTGCGTCACCAAGTGTATGGCTACACTGGACCTCTTAACAAGAGTCTTTTGGCATTCCGCTCTCAGTCATCGGCCGTTCGCGAGGTGGATCGCGATCTGATAGAAGCTATCGTGGCGTCCATGTTCATGTATGGACAAAGCAGGAGAGACAGAGAGGACTATCTAGAGATAAGCCAAAGGTGGGACAAGTGACCCCCGGGATTCTCTAACGTGTACAGTTACTGACTGCGCTCTTCTAGGCTCCCATTTTTGCAAGAGCCGGACATCGGATTGGGAATTGCGGTGCGGACCTTCTTTGACGAGGATGACGCTTCTCATAGCAAGGAGAAGCGAAATGAACGATTGGAGGAGTTCCCAAAGACTTTTGTGCCGTTTGCCGAGGCCTTGACGGATGACTTCCGAATCTGTGTGGATTTTTTCAATGCTCTGAATCAAGGCATGCAGACTCTTGGCTCCGACGAGTTGCCTGCGGCGGATAAAACAGCTTGGAGCAACGCTCAAGCCTACCTGGATGCTCGACCTTTCTGATGGAGATTTGATCACCACACATTGTCGACATTCAATGTCGTTTGAGGCATGGTTATTGCTACTATTGCAAGGCGCATAGATTTTACGTTCAGGGTCATGGTTATCCAACCAGCGAAAAATCATCTTTTTTATGTTTTCCGGATATGATGTCCAGCCCATTGGACACAAAAGTACTCGAGACATTTATTCAGCGGCTCATGCAACACCACTGAGCTAGGCGACAATGTGAGGGAACTGAACAAGAGCCTCTCGCTAGGATGAAGCTGCATCGTGCAGAGAAGGGTGGCCTTAGCAGCAAGGAGACCTATCGCGAGGAAAGTTGAGAAGCAGTGTCGAAACGCAGCCAAGCGGCATGGCGGAAGTGTGTACGACGCCTTGGTACAGGAATCAGCAGATGTAAGCCGGCATGCGCTTCAATGATGGCATGTGAAGGGGGCGACGGAGCGCCGTGGAAGTCAGGGCAATGTTTGATAGGACTGCTTACAGTCGATTATACCATGTCAGCCCTAAAAGACCAAAATACTTTTTCTTAAGATACGCGTGTGTGACGACTGTGTGGCGCAATGTGTCTGGTCCGGTAGGTTGCGATGCAATCTACGTCTTGAGGTATGAAACACTACATGGCATCAACAAGATTCAGTGGCTAATTCAGACTCGCGTAAAATGAAAATTGATCCCGTCAGCCTGGGATTGGTTACCGTACTGCGAGAGTACTTGTATATATGTACAACATTTCCCCGCAATACTCTCTCTTCATCATGAAGACCTGGTATGTGGTGAAACACTTCCCAACTCTGTACCATGCACTCTCCATACCGTCTGTATAGCTGACGTGGAAACAAAACTCACTGGTCTTTTCCACCCCCACTGCTCTTTTCAGCATCTATGCTCCTTGGTATCGTGTGCCTTTGGTTCAGATGCACCGTTTATGGAAGCACCTTGTCCAGTCTCGCCCTCTTCATCATCAGCAGCAATCCCGTCCGACTCTCTCGGCTGTGCTGTTCTGGTGGCAAACTCCCCATCGCCCGGCAACTCACACATGGCTCCCACGGCCGTTGCGGCGCCCGACCCCGGCAGCTCAGAAACTGGATGCCCCGCTGAAGTGGAATCGGCACCGCGAGGCGTCCCGTCCAGTTCGCTTTCAGGACCAAGCGAGGGTCCGAAGGGGGAGGGCGTCGCGTCCAACTCGGGCTTGTTCATGCCCGGAAGGCCGCTCTCCTGCTCGGACGCCGCCCCGGCCTCGGCCTTGCTGCGGCTCCTTCGGCGGTAGAATACATACCCCGCCAGCGCCAGGACGATGAGGATCAGGGGAAGAGCGGTCCCGATGGCCGCCTTTGTCGCGGTGCTCAGGCCGCCCCGCGCGTCGCCGTCGCCGGAAGCGCTCGAGGTCGTTGACGGGCCGGACGAGCCGGATGCGGCGGCGGTGGCGGTGTCGTTTCCGCGGACGAGAACCACCTGCGGCGCGAAGACAAAGGGCCAGATGTCGCTGGATATGAGCTGCGTGCTGGTTGTCCGGTTCATGCTTTTGCTCGGACAGCCCTGGCTCATGTCTGCGGTGACGGTGGCCGAGAGCGGCGGCGTTGAAATACACGTGTACGGGGCGTAGCACCGGAAGCCGCTTGCGCCATGTGAGCCCACCGTCTGCAACTCGTTTTGGTTCGGGATGATTTCCCCATCCCCGGGGCCAACAGGACTCACCTCGGGCAGCAGCCGTGCGCCGTCTGCCCCTTGGACAGGATGCTCCACGTGGACACGGTGGGATACGTCGACGTCGTGGTCGGGAAGGAGGTCTGGATCGGCTGGGTGGCCCCGGGCGGGCTGTAGACCATTGTGCAGCCCGTCGTGTAGCCCGACGGGCACAGGAGGCCCGGCGAGTAGAGCGGCCACACGGCATCGGGGCCCCGCCAGTCCTGGATGTTGTTGTACGCGGGGCCGTAGCGCTCCGGGAAGCACGACGAGATGAGCTGGAACAGGCTCCCGCCGTACGTAGTCGGGCACTCGTACCCGCGGTTCCACTGCAGGACGGTCGTCACGTTCATCGACATGGAGACGCGGTGGCCGTAATAGCCGAGCGTGAGGGATGTGCAGTTGCCCGGGGGCGCGAATGTCGTCGTCAGGGGGCCGAGGTTGAGCGTGAGCCCCGGGGGGACCGTGGTCGTCGGCGTCGGGTCTCCCTCGCTTGCGGCGACCATGGTGGTTCCGAGGTGTTTGTTGATTCTTTATTATGATTTGGCTAGTCTGGACGGTGGCATCGTGAGGGGGACTTTGGGGGGGGGAGAACGTGAAAGAAGCAAGAAAAGGGGGAAAAGCAGGCGGGTTGTCAAGAGGACATGGTCTGTGTAGGTGTCCTTGGTTGGTGTAATTTGGAGATGCAGCCAGCGCGGATGGCAGTGGGCTTTTCCTGGTCGGTGCTTTTATTTCGAAGACGGCTGATGGTCTTTCTTTTCTTGGTCCGATGAGCGGGTTGGTGGTTGAAGCGCCTTGGTCTGGTATTTTGGGGGTTGTTGGTCGGTGCGCTGCAGATTCGGCTGTTTTCTGATAGGTGTGGCGACGGGATGAGGGTGGGGAGGGGAAATTGACGATGCTTTTTGCTTGTCAGGGATGCGTGAGGAGTGAATCGCATTGGTTCGAGAGAGGTAGATGGTGGTGGTTGGAGTTGTCTGTCCGAGGGAACTGTAGAGCGAGAATGTGGTGGGTTCTGAAGTTGCATGTGAAATGATTGGTTCTCTTGAGCCGTTGCTGGTTTGGGCTTGGAAATAGTCCGAGTTGCTGCTTGTGCGAGACACGTCTGTCGCGGAAGTTGAACTGCGCCGGGCAAAAGGGACAGATGCTGCACTCTGACAATGTGGATTTCTACAACTGGCTGCTTTCACATTCTTCATTTGCTATTCTGTGTTTTACTCGTGTGCTCATAGCAAGGACGATTCTGTTTGCATGAAAAATAGGGCATCTCGGTTTCAAGAAAACAACAAAGCTGGTTGCTCTTACAGCTGCAGCTTGAATAGTTTCAAATTATGTCAAGCCACGTACTTTTTTCGAAATTCACACTGTCCCGTTTCTGACGGCGAAGCAAACATCTTCACGAGCAAGGTCAACCTGAAAGCCGCCACCCCTTTCCATTAAAGAAATTAAATAATCTCATCCAGATAGCAACCACTAAACAACAAAAGGGGGGATGAGGACCTGGGCGAAGAGCTTTTTTTTTTTTAGAGAGACAGAAGATTGGTGATGTGGTGTTTTTGTCATCTTTGTTTTTGAGGTTATTTGTACGGTTCCTTTGTTTAGACGAGCTCAAGCCTGGAAGGCAAAGTGCTGGTTTTTTTCCACGATGCCGTTGACGACTTATACGCGGCCTCTGGCTTCGGGACAAAGCCACGAGGTCGGGGGATCGAGTCGTTCCGCGGCCGATTTTGCCATCTGAGACATGATTTAAACGCCTTCCGGGGAGATGTACTAGTTTATTTTCATGGTGGTATTTGCTCGTGGTGGCGGCAGGATTACGTCTATGACGAAGTGGTCATGGTGGTTTCTCGCGCTGCCGTGCGGCGGTGGCGTCAAACCGCGCAACATTTTGATTATCAATCATGTCAAGTTCGGCTGGATCCGGCAGTTGCCGCTGCTACAATTGCTCCAAGTGTCGACGGCGGCGCTGGCAACGGTTGAGGGTGCCTGGCTAACGGCAGCCAGTGGCCATGGACGGGTGTAACGGCAAGGCAGGTGGCTTGTTTGACTCTGGAGAGGACGTCAACCACACTGTTGTTTTGCCAATACCCAATGCTAAAGCGTCATCTGCCAATAGGGCCTGTTGTCTGAATGGTTTCCCACGCCTCCCATGGCAGAGCAGGCCGCAGCCCGCACCGAAATGTCAAATGCAAATACGGCACAAAATAACTACATCCTGCCCCATTCCCAATCTAGTTGAGAAAGAAGATGCCCCTAGTTCCACAAAAAGGCAAAACCACAAGCCCCCCAACAACTCCGCGCCTCAACCCCCGTTTCAGATCTCTTCTTCCTGACACACATCGTGGCGCCCAGATCCGTCGCAGGGGCAAGGGTAGCAAGGGGCATCAGCTAAGCTTGCTTCAAGATGAAAATCAAATCACTGCACGACACGAGCACGGAGGGAATACGCGGTGGAAAAGTGAGTTTCTCAGTTTGTTAGTTTGTGGCTAGGGAAAAAAGAAACGCCCAAGACACGACTTCGAATCGTGCTGGATGGTATTACTAAAAAGGGAGAAGAATTAAATGCAAGAAAATTTTTTGGGAATACCCTCAAAGCTATATTGACAGCTTGAGCTGACAGCCTGCGCAAACAGTGCCGGCGAAAAAGCCACTTTTTTCTCAACACAAGATTGCTTTCTCGACTTGGACGATGCCTGCCAGCCCGTATTTCTCATGCTTAATAGAAGAACAAAAACAAAAGTGCTCGCATTAATCCCACCCTCACAAGGCCAGAATCATGGGTCCAGCAACAGTGATGTCATCCGTCAAGGCGCCATTCACCGGCGCGCTACTCGCCAGCGACAGGTACGTCACGCCCGCGACGCCCTGGGGGATCTGGCATCCCTCGGCTGCGGTAAACGGGGTGAAAGCGGTGCCGCCGGGCACTACGCCGCCGGATGTAAAGGCGCAGTGCGTAGCCGCAGAAGCACCGCTCGCGGCGGCCACTCTGACGGTAGATCCGACCTTCATGGCGCTCGCCTCTGCTGACCCTGCTTCCATGGTCAACGCGGGGAAAGCGGTGACGGCGAGGTTGGATCCCTGCGGGCAAGACTTGATGAACGGGGCGGCGATGGAAAAGACGGACTTGAGGCTGAGGGGCGCGTCAAAGGCTTGCGGGACGGCCGTCTGGCCGAGCAGCACTCTCAGAGAGCTTTGGTGTCGCGACTCGATGGTGACGATTGACGCGGCGGCCGTCAGAATGGAAGGGTCCTTGATACGCTTCGCAAGGCCCAGATAACCCGACACGCCGACATTTTCGAACAATGCGCCCAGGGTGGCCATGCCCTTGGCATCGGTTACATTGAATTCGTACTGGCATGGCTGCACAGGCTGCACGCCAGCTTGGGCCAGTGCCGACTGGAGGAACGCGACGTGTTCTTGCTCCGTCTGGCCGATTTGCTTGAGGTCCTTGATCTGCTCTTCATTGAGGCCAAGCGCGGCAAAGTCTGAGTCTGGAAATCTTTGGAAACCCTGGCGGTAGAATGCGTCTTCGAGATGCTCCAATGTCAGGGCGCTACCAAGAGATGCAGAATTAGCCTCTACAACTCGACACTGTCCAAGGGTGGAATAGCACGGTATGGGCTTACAATTGCAAAACATCCGCATCGGACAATTCAGTTTCGGGCACTTCCGTGGTCGGGGCAGTCCCATTTTGAGCCTGTCTTACAACCAGTCCATCCCGGCGGACGGCAGGCAACGCCGAAGCCGTGGCGGCTAATAAAGCCAAAGCAGCAACTTTCAATGAAGGCATGGTCTCGAAGCTTGTGTCAAGATTGTACCGTGATATTATAATATATGTCGTCGATAGGGGCCAGCCGCCAGGTGGTGAATAAATATTAAGTGTATATACGAAATTGCCAGGCCAGCTGTCGTCAAAAGGAAAGAAAAAAGAATGTAGACAAACAAGAGACCACAAGGGGCCAGGGCAAGTGCTGATAGTCGAAGGAAGTGAATGTAAACTACTTTGCCGCGATAAATAGAAACAAGAAGTAGAAAGAAGAGACGTGATGGGCATGGGGAACCCAAATGTTATTATAATTATTGGGCCCCAACCAGCCACTTGCCCTTTTCAGCATTGCATAGTCTGTCCGCGGCTCTTGGAGATGCCGAAGATGGGCAATTCGACTTGTTTGAACACGGCCTTGTGTCGTCCATAGCTCCAGAGTCCGGACGGATAGGTTTGTCACAGAACAGGGAAGGGAACTTTTCTGGCTGTTTGGCCTTGGAAACGAACGGGCCACGAGACTTCCGTGCCGCTGCTGGAGCTAGATAGGGTCCATTGCGGAAGGGACAGAGACGCCTTGTTTCGATGGAAGCTGCATCCCTGCTCGGTATGTGACCTGGCCGGGTGGATGAAGGATACAGAAAGGCGCAATATGGTGCACGGCGGAGTGTGCGTGAGGCAGGTCAATGTCGCCGGCCCGTCCATCGTCCGAAACCGAAACCATCATGACACACCTCCGGCCCCGAGCCCTCGAGCTAGCTTTCTCCTCCAATGTGTCTGGTCCTTCCTCCACTTGGCAACGTTGAACTCATACTACGGTGGCCTACGGGCTACAGACTACTACCGCACACCGCACACAGCACACAGCACACAGCACTCACTTGTGCACGTTGCCCGAAGCCTCCGTGTGAGCCTTGTTGCGACAGTATTGTCATGGAACCAATCTCCCACCCCACGAGCCCTGTGCATCTCATTTGTCATCTCAAGCGGTACAGGTATGATTCTCCGGCCCATCATACAGACGCCACGACTTCATACCGTTACCCATCCCCAACACGAGGCGTCAGCCAACCCACGCGCCTTGTTCATTCATCACCGCCCTACATCTCGTTGCCTTGGTGCCAATCGTCTCAACTCATACCTTGGCACTTACCAAAAGGTGATCTACATTCCACGCAATTCCTCCCCCAATGTATGTGTCATCTGTTCGCAAGAATCGGATCCCGCTCGGATGAGTTGCTCTTTGCCATGTTTGTCGTTTCTCTCCATACTCCCGGTAACCATTCACGTGAAGGACAAATTTGTCACGCTTGGCCTCGATGGTTGCTGAGCCATACGCCCAGTGCAAATGTCCAACCAACTATCTTCTTTTTTTACTACTTCACTTTTGTCGCCATGCTACTATACTTGTTCTCCTCCTTGTGACAGCCTGTCCGCTTAATGACACACATCTACTATTTGTATCATGTTATGTACCACACACATCAGTAGCCGTCGACGGAGCCTCCACAAAGCGCAAAAAATTACACCACACTTCCTTTGGGCTGCTATCTCTCCCGTCTCTTCTCCATCTCCCATCACACTTGATTATGTGTACTATTGGTGCAATCTGTTTACTTGGCTGGCTCATGACTTGTCCAGCTTCCTCCTCTCCATTTACAGGGCATATGGGTTCAGTGAGCGGATCGTCAGACACCTGTTGCACATAATGTTAGTCATTGTTGTTCGCACCCGTGATTCACATTTCATCCGTGTCACTTACGGCGGGCTCTTGCTGAGATCTGTCTTCAAGATGATAGGCACCCGAGTCATCTCCGTTACATCCTGAATATAGTCGCCGCCCTCCTCTCTCAACTTGAACAACTTCAAGTACTTCTCCTTATTTGTCAACAGCGTCTCCACGGCATCGGTGACAGGAACCTTCGAGTCCGAACGGGTCCGGTGAAGCTTACCGGCGTTCGAGGCAGAGCGAGCGGGGGATCCCGGCACGCTCTGTGTCGGACGCTCGGCAAGGGACGCTCCAGCCATAGCTTCTGTAATATCAGAAGTGTTGTCCTCGTCGTCATCGTCAAACAGAGCATCAACATCGTCAGTCGAGATGGTGCCAGTGACTGTCTGCTTGCGCGCCGCCTCGTCGCGCTCCTTCTTGACTCTCTCGGCTTCCTCTGCCTGACGAGCGGCGGCCATGGCATTGGTCATTCTTTGAGAAGCGGCGGCCTTGGGACGCTCATCCTCGGGAACGTAGGCAGAACTAGGCACGCCCTTCTCCCAGTACAGCTCGAGAACTCGCTTCTCCTTTCTGAACTCGGCCTTCTTCAATGGCAACTGATCGCAGTGTACACGCTTCTCAAAGCCCCATTCGGGAATAAGCACGTCAAAAGCCGACTCATACACGCACAAAACAATACCCTCTGAAATGAGGTCTCCATTGGCCTCCTGTCGCTTCTTGTCCATAGTGCGACATGACTCGATGTGGATGCTCTGCTCTTGTGCGTTCTGGGCAGACTCCTTCTTGGTGTTGCATGACTCGACAGTCTTGGCCAAGCTTTCCACATCATCAGCAAATTCAATCTTGCCCTCTGATAAAACAGCCTCTAGCTGACGGTGAACAATGATGTCGGCATAACGACGAGTTGGGCTCGTGAAATGAGTGTAAAGTGGGAGGTTAAGAGAGTAGTGTGGCCATATCTGCTTAGGAGTCTTGCTCGCAATGAAGTACTTGGCACGGTGCATAGCTTTGAGTACCACAGTCTCCATGCCCTTGCGAAGATCAGTGTCGTCAACCTTGAAAAGACTGTTCTGAAGAGCACCACTTCCAGAGGCATCAATGTCGTAGCCCAAGGCATTCATGCGATCGACAAAGGTTTGCAGGCGGCGAGGGTTGGGGGAAGCCTGGCGGCGGAGGAGAGCCTTTTCAGGCAAACCCTCAGCAAGGCGTTGAGCCACGTAGCTGTTGACTTTATGCATGAGCTCCTCGACAAGCTCCAGGGCTTGCGTTGAGTCGAAAATGTTGTCTTGAACGGGGTTGTTCTCGTCATCAAGCTGCTGGAACAGTCGCAAAGGAGCAATTGGTTCGCCGCCCGCTCCAAGGCGTGCCTCGCGGAACTTTTGGGCGACAGCCTGCAGGATCTGGATCGTGTTAACAGGGACGACCTCATTTTTGAATTCGGAAGCATTCTCCAGAGCCTGATCTATATCTTTTAGGCTGAGCTTGCCCGAACTTTTGATGATACTCTTCCCAACCCAACTATCTCCCTCCGCAACTGATCCATTATTAGGGTTGACATTAAAAACAACAGAGATGGTAAAGCGTTCCTGATCAGGTCCTAGGGAACAGACCTCGCTGGATAGCTTCGGGGGCAGAAGAGCGCAGAAACGGTTGATGAGCTGGACAGAGGTCCCACGCTTCTTAGCCTCGCGGTCGACAAGTGAGTTGGGCTTGACGAAGTGAGTAACATCAGGTACATGTATACCGACTTCAATCTTGCCATCGGGGCGGGACTTGACATGGATTGCATTTCCAAGCTCGGCACTACCGTCGAAGTCAACAGTAAATACCTTCTCATTTCTGTAGTCACGACGAGCTGCGAGTTCGGATTCCTCCTCCTTGGCCACAGACCAATCTTGGAGGCCGACGCTACGCAAGACAGCATCGGAGAACTCGTCAGAGGAAAAATTATTGTCACGAAGCAAGGCATCAGTCTCCACCTTGAGTTCACCCATGCGGCCGAGCTGCTCAACGAGGGTGCCGAATGGATGTAGTGAGGTAATGGGCCAACGCTTGATGCAAGCGACAAAGATGCGATCGGCGTAGTCTTGATGCTTCTCAACGAAGTCTCGAGGAGCCTGTTCTGTAGGGATAGCAATAAGTGGTACCCGCTTGTCCGTAGGCTTGAACCAAACAATCTTGGGTTTCTCCTGCTGTCGTGAATCATTGTGGCGATTGTTGCCACCATCTCTGGCAGCACGTTCGGCCTCTTGCTTCTCCTTGGTGGCCTGGCTGCTAGGACGTAGCAGGCCGAGGGTGCCCGAGAACATCTGTCCAGCAACACGTTCAATGACGGCCACAACATGGCCAGCGTAAAGTGGCTTCTGCTCGTCGCTAATCTCTTCCTCCTCAACAAGTAGCAAGCTCTGGCCTTCAACCTCCACATCATCGTTCTTCTTCTGCGTGGGTCGTTGGCGCAAACTGCCGCGTCGTCGAATACCGCCCTCGGCAGCATTGTTGTCCTCATTATTGCCAGAATCTCGGTTACCCTGGTTGGTGGAGCCAGAGCGAGTATCCGTGATATCCTTGCGCTTCTTCTTCTCTTCCTTTTCCTTCTTCTGAGACCAGACCTCATCAACATCTAGAAGCTCAACAGCGACGAGGTCGCCTTCCAAGGCGCGATTGCGATCCTTGCTACCACAGATAAAGATATCAGCATCTAGCAAGCCATCTTGCGTAGTCACGTAGGCGTCGCTACGGTTTTTCTTGTTAACACGAAGAATACCAGCGACGAGCTGTCCATCCCCGAGAAGGGCAGGAAGGGAGGCTTGAGGAAGATAAGGAGTAAAAAGTGTCTTTCGTTGCTGCTGCTGTTGCTGCTGACCACCGAGCTGGCCGGCGTGCTGCGAAGTCTGAAGGCCCTGGAACTGTTGGCCACCCATCTGAGCAGCCTGCAGGGCCTGCAGCTGGCTCAACTGGATAGGGTTGAGCTGCTGCCCGTACATCTGGGGAATCATCATTTGGCCGGGCAGCTGCATGAGCTGGGGTTGGTTCGGGTTGTACTGGAAAGCCCCAATTGACGATACAGACTGGTTAATAGAGCCACGAGGCCTATGGCCCGGCTGGAAGGAAGAAGTTTGACCAGTGTTGCCAGCCTGGTCTTGATTCTGCCCCTGAGTACGCCAATTGCCTTCAAAGTTTCGTGATCCGGAGCGGGCG